ACGGCACGTGTGGGGAATCCGCCCCTAATTATTTCCTTTGTTCTAGCTATTCCCAAGGAACGGGTGACTGGTGCCTTTTCGGAAATCCCAATTCCAGATTCATGTGTGTTTCAACTATAGTATTCTAACTAATCAACTTATTCTCATTCTAATCATTCCCAAAGGGGCGGGTGCGTCTTGTGGAATTCAAGATCCATGTTTGCCAGCTATTCTACTTATCATACCTATATTACTTGTTCTAATGATTATAATTCTTCCCAGAGGGACGGGTTGCTTTTGGAGAATTCCAGATCCATCTTTGTCCTACTGTCTTAATTATTGGGTATGCTTCCCCACAAAATTACAATTATTCTCATTTATATACTTATTGTGAAAGGGGCGGGTGCCTTTGGGGGAACTCCAGATTTATGTTCGTGCTAATTATTTGAACTAATCTAAGTATTCTACTTGTTCCAAAAAGTGGGGTGCCTTTTGACGAATTCCAGATTCATGTTTTCTATCTATTCTACTTATCATAACTCTTCTAATTCTCATCATTATTCCCAAAGGGACGGGTGACTTTTGGGGAATTCAAGAGCCCTGATTGCTAATTATTCTACTTATCATAATCATTCTATATTATTCTAATTGAATACCTAGGGAGCTGGGGTGCGTCTTGGGGAATTCCAAGCTCGTGTTTGCCCTGGGTAGGATAATTATGTCAAAAGGGATGGGGCCTGTTGGTGGCGAGATTCGTGGTTCCCGCATTGTTCAAACTATTCGAGCCATTCCCAAATGAGCAGCTCCCATTTAGTAAGTTCTAGATTATTTCCCTATTTTCTACTTGGTCCCAAACAGGAAGGTGCCGTTTAGTGAGTTCAAGATTCACGTTCGCTGATTAGTCTATTTATCATCAGTCTTGTAAAATACTACTATCATTATTATTTACAAAGGGACGGGTGCCTTTTGAGAGCTTCCAGATTCGTGTTTGCTCTAACTATTCTACTTCTATAATTATGCTAGATATTCTGCTCATTGACAAAGGGACGGGCACCTTTGTTGTTCTAGGTACAACAATTCCTACACAAGAGGTGGGTGCCTTGTACGTCTTCCCATTATTCTTGTCATTCCCAAAGGGGGGTGCTTGCGAGGAATTCCAGATTCTTGCTTTTTCCAATTCTTTATTCTCCAAATTGGGGAACTTTCAGATTCATTGTTTCTCTAACTACTCTACGTACAATATGTTCTGTTCCTGGGCGTGCCCAAATTATTCCAATTATTCCCAACGGGACGGTCCCTTTTGAGGAATTCCAGATTCATTTTCTTGTCTAGCACATCTACTCATGAACTTATTATAATCATTCTTCCCAAAGGGACGGGTGCCTTTAGGGAATCTCCATATTCATGTTTGTTCTAATCTTTCTAGTTATTCTAAATGTTCTTTTGTTTCTTATTATTCCCAAGGGGGCGGGTGCCTTTGAGGAATTGAAGATTCGTGTTTTGCATACTAGCCTACTTATCATCGCCATGATTTCTCCTTATTCCAAGGGAGGCGTGCGCCTTTTGGGGAATTCCAGGTTCATAGCTTTTTTTCTGTTGATTCTACTTCTGATATATTTTCTCATGATTATTCTCATTCCCAAAAAGACGGGAATTCCAGGCTCTTGTTTTTGCAACTGGTCATTCCCAAATTTGGGGGAAATTCTGATTCATGGTCTCTCTCTTATTCAACTTCCGGTGCTTTGGAACTACCCGCATTTTCCAAGTATCGCCAACGGGGCGGCCCTTTTGAGGAGTTCCAGATTCATTGTCTGCTACGCTATTCTACTTCTTATGATCAGTCTTCTCAAAGGGACAGGTGCCTTCTGGGAATCTCCAGGTTCATGTGTGTTCGATTATTCTAGTTGTTCTAACTGCTCTAATTTTCTAATTACTCCCACAGGGACGGGTGCCCTTGGGAAATTGAAAATTCATGCTTGGGAAATGTTGTCTACTCATCGTAGCTATTATAATTATTATTCTTATTCCGACCGGGGCAGGTGCCTTTTGTTGAGCTCCAGAATCACGTTTGTTTTTCAATGTTTTTAATGATTCTAGTTCTGATAACTGCTCTATTTATTATTGGCATTCCCAAAGGGACAGGTGCCTGTGAAGAATTCCAGATAATTGCTTTTCCAATTCTTTATTCTCCAAATTGGGGAACTTTCAGATTCATTGTTTCTCTAGCTATTTTACGTACAATATGTTCTGTTCTTGGGCGTGCCCAAATTATTCCAATTATTCCCAACGGGACGGGTCCCTTTTGAGGAATTCCAGATTCATTTTCTAGTCTAGCGCTACTTATCAACTTGTTATAATCATTCTTCCCACAGGGACGTCGTTCCCAAAGGGACGGGTGCCTTTGTGGAGTTGAAGGTTAATGTTTGCAAATTAGCCTACTTATCATTGCTATTTTTGCTTCTACTTATTCCAAGAGGGGCGGGTGCCAGTTGGGGAATTCCAGGTTCATAGCTTTGCACCT